CTAAGAGCTGCTGTAGCTTCTCTTTCTGGTATCTGAGCAAGTTGTCTTCATTCTCTAAGGCTGAGACTGAAGAACTGCTCTGTTCTCTGATGGATTTTTTTTTCTAATAAGCAATTATTTTTCTATATTCAACAGTTGAGTGATCAGGGACTTGTCACCTCTGCTCTTACTTGTAACATGCAGAGTTGCAGGGGGTGTAATGACCATGTGAGGGAACTGACTTCACTATGGCATGTCTGCCTGAAATCAGCATTCCCAGCAGGCTCAAGGAAGAGGACCTGTGTGTTCCACTATCACTTGTTTTCCATTACAACCATTTCCATCTTCTGTTTATGTTTTTCTGAGATGAGCCCTTTTTATTATAAACTCTGATTTCATATGACAGCATTTTCATGTAGCTAAAATACTCCAGAACCCGTATCACCCCTTCATTTGTTGCAGTCATTTCTCTGCACAAAGGCACTAACTGCAATGAATTGTCTCCTTTTCTTACAGCTAATGTTAACAGTGTAAGTGGCAGAGCAGTACCTGGGAACGCTCATCAGATCAAGAGCAATGCCCAAAGCAGAAGCCTAATGTTGAAAAGGAAGATGAAGCAGCATTTTGGTTAACATATTCACAATGCCCAGTGTTTGCACAGAGCGGCTCAAGGGAAGGAACTAGTCAGGGTTGAAATCTAAGGCAGGAGTTCTGGAAGTCACATAGGCTACTCTCAGACACCCTTAGGTGCCTGACCTCACTGCAATACTTGGTTCTGTACTGGCTATCACGTGTCATCTCATTCTTTAATCAAAAGCATCTCGTGGGACCACAAGTTTAAATCCATTTGTTCAGTGCTTCTGTGTACTGCAGCTTTCCATGCCCTCTTCCTCTGTATCAGTGTGCTTTAACAGCGGTTTGCTCGTAACCAGTATCAGTGGCAAACTGCCTCAGAAGATCTGTAGGTAGTCAATTTTAGAAGCCAGGGTCACTTTCAGTCAGAAGTTAAAAGACTTCTGACATGTCCAGATTTAAGGCATTGATATTCCAACAGTATTTCCTTCCAGTAATTCCACATGGCTTTGGGAATGAGGATGCTTGGGGAAGATGTCAAACAAGTTTTCACTTTTGTATTCTTTTCATTATCATTTGATTAATATAGACAGGGAAAATTCATGCCTAGGATGCTTGTCTGTGAAAAGCCTGAACAACACAGAGGCAACTCTTTCAGATAAATAAAATCTGAATTAAAAAAAAAAAAACCTTTGAATAAGAAAAAAACAGGAAACTGAACCACATCTACTTGGGAGCACTTGGTCAGGATGATTACTAACACAAGCCAGAGAACCACGTCCTTGTAATACCTGGGCACGATGGATGGCACAAGAGAGCAAACAGTAACTGGCTACAAAGCTAATGAACTGCTTTTTAGGGCATGATGACCCATAAGAATGAAGAGTAACAATGTGCCGCTTTTATAGAGTTTGGATGGAAATCACACGCCTCTAGTGTCAGCTAACTGCAGGAATATGAGGTGGCGTCTCACCACTGTCTGTTTAGGGCCATTGCACTCCCTCTAGAATTGCATCTGTCCTCTGTTTTCTTACATGCTTACTCATGCTCAGCTCAAACTGGAGTGCTTTCTTCTGTCATTTAAGGAGGAACTGTTCTTTTCTAGATTTATGCACAAATCAACATACACATTTGCCTCAGGGTTTTTTTTCTGCATTAGTATGTGACAATGCCCATAGCAAAGGTGAGCATAAGGAACTATTAAGTTTGACTCTGTGTCCCCAAGGGTGTGAAGATACAAATTGTTTCCTCAGAGGTCTGGCCCTTTCAGTTGTACCCAGTCCACACAGTTTGTTTCTGCTAAAGCATTAGAGGCATCTGTTACAGAAGCAAAAGAGGGTGTTACGTTTCAAGGAAAGATGACAGGAGCAGAAGAAACTCACTACCTGCCATGGTACTGGCAGCACTCAGGTCATCCATAAATAAGTCTATAGGCTAGGGTAGCTCAGACCCATCAAAGCAGAGCCTGGTGTTCTTCACACATTACCTTGACGATCTGACTCTCCTCAGGAATACAGAAAGGGTTATTTCTGTTGAAGCTGCCATTCCCTGAGAGGATTGAAGAACGGTACTGAGGTGATTTTAGTAAACTAGAGGGTGAGAACTGGGGCAGTTTAGCAGTCAGAAAAGTGACCAAATTGCCATCTTCCTGTAGGAAACAGTGGATAAAGGAGAATGACTAGCAGGGAGAAGATGAGTTCTGCTTTTCTTCATGTCATCTCCAAGTTAGTTGCTGAAATCTGTGAGAGAGCCAGAAAGCCTCAGCAATCCTAAATCTGTCACTATTCACATCTCAGATTCTCCTTTAGAAAAGCAAAGAGGATTCTGTTAACTAGAGAATGTAACTGCTGCTTGTGGCTGACAGGTTTTGCTCCGTCTCCAAACTCCAGCAGGGTGAGAAGCAGTAACAGGTTGGAGGATCTTAGCACCAGGGAGGCAAGTGATACAAAGGCAGCGCAGAGTATTCTGATTCTCAGGGCGGTTGGTTGGTTGGTGAAAATGCAAGATTACATTTGGCATGATCTTGCTTTACCCCCAAACTTACGAACAAGTTGCTGTCAAAAATGTGGCAGTCACCAAGATTAAGTTTATTAAAGCTCCATGAAGACATAAAACCAAAATAGATGATCCAAGGTCACTCTGTATTCTTTTCTCAACCGCTGCAGTTCAGCACAAGGAAAGCATGAGGCCGCATTAATGTCTGCTGCAAACAGATGTATCCTCTTCAATATAAATGCACCCATTTATGCTTTGCCTGTACTGAGTCTGTGACTGGGTTTTTATGGGATTTGGCAACTGCAGCACTATCTGTTAATATCTGAAGGTGGGAGTGTTCAGGGAGTTGTCTGAAAGGAGATGGGATCATACCCACCCACACTTATTAACACCTTACATGAAAGTAAAACAAGTTCCTCTTTACGAACATCAGAATCACTTGCCCAGGCACTTTCTGTGAAGTTCCCATCTTCAGGGCTTACTTCTTTTCTTCATCCTGCTAAAACCAAGCTATCAGCAGGGATACGGCTGGAAGAGCCTTTTAAATTTCACCAAAGTTGCATAAGGGAACATGATTTTTGTCTTTTCCTCATCAAAACCAAAATACAAACTCACATGAGGAGTAAGATTTACTTACATAGGACTCCTCCTCTCCCTGCCCTGCCTCACTGATTCTGAAAAATACTTTGTATGAACACCAGCCTCTGAAAGCACCTGGAACTTAAAAATCCTCCCATTAAAACAGAGTCTTTGATATCAGGAGAGCATATGTCCCAAAACAGCTAACGTTTCTCTATAGTTCATATCTTAAACCAGCAGCAATCTCCTGAATAAAAATGATGGTAAGAGGTCTTCTACTTCTTCACAGATTGGAGCAAGTAAAACTAATTTCATATGAAACTTTGGTGACATGTTCCTACAGCTTCACCTAGACTCCTCCAGCAGGATAATAAATACATACCTGGATTTCAACTTACTCGAGAGTCTTTGTCTAACATCTGGCTTCAAGATGGTGGCACAGAGAAGTGCAGTGATGACATAGGAAAACAGGAGGGAAAAAACCTAGTGCAGTGGAAAGCAGGAGGCGGTGGAGAGAGCAGGGAAAACCAAAATTTAAGTAAGTCAAGGGGTGGAAATTCCTCTGAGAAGGCCTTAGGCTTCAAGAAAGCTTGTGGACATTTGTAGCACTTTGAGATTACCTAATACTAACCTTATGTGAAGGGGACACTAGACCTCAGCAGGCATTTCAGAGGAGCCTTTCTGTAAAAAACAAGTCTTCAAATGTGTGCATCCAGATTTGCAAGTAGCTCACTGAATGAAGAGCATTCTGTCTTGCAACACTCGCAAGAAATTCTCTTACCCAACTCTTCCTTACTATTTGAAAAGCAAACTCAGTGTTTTCCTCATTATTTTCTGTTTGCTGCATACCTCTCCCCCACTGTGACTGCTATTTGACCTGCTGTCCGCTCAGAGACCCTGAGGGAAAGAGAGAGGGAAGTTTGTGTGCGTGTACATGTGAGGAGTGAGATGATGAGAGTCTCAGCTATGTTCTGACTTGTTTATATTCATTAGAAAGAAATCAACAGCACTTGGTATGCAAGACAATCTCTGATGATAGGGAACATCTTTTATGCAGCACAGGAAAAGAGCAGATTCATCTGAGGATTTGGGAACGCGTGGGGACTTCATTTCAGTGTGTGTACAAGCTTTTATCTCCCTTTTGCATTAGGATATTATCAAATAATAGAATCTCAGCATAAAGGTTTAATTAAAGGAGGACAGCACCCTCTTTCACTAATTGTTTGCTCTTGCATCTACAAGTCTGGCACGCTTGGGATTAATGAGAAACCAGTAAGGATCAGAGTGCAGAAGGGTAGGTATGTCTGATCATCCCTTCCCAAGTGCCTTGTGATAAATATGGTACCTTCAGTATTTCTGGCAGATCTTGGAAGGGTTCTCCCCTCATTGCACTTGTGTTTTCAATGAACTGGGTTTCTTCTCAAAAAATTGACAAAAAAATAAAGCTGAAAGAATCTATGAGGGTGGGTGTCAAAATCACAGATCAAAGTTACTTTTCATCCTCTCCAGAGAGCCTCAGACATCTAGGAATTCAAAACAAAACTCCACTGTAAGAAACATTTCCAAAGCTGGCACAGTGCTACAGCTTGTATGTTCTGTGCACTTAGAAGGGAAGCACTGACCCAGCCAGGAGAGCTCCTCAGAACACCCCCACAAGCAGAGGAGCTTGTATCAGTGGCACCTTGGGTGCTGTCTTCCTCTTGAACTGCTCAAGAAGATACATAGCTACTAGTTTTTAACATTCAATTCACATCATTGCACCTAAATCACTGGTCTCCATTCTACATGGCAGAACCAAAGAAGTATTTCAAATACAGGTCACAGCTTTTCTGCTGTAAATCAAGTCTCTCAATGAATTTGGGCATATATGAAGGTTTTCCTCTTCTACACTTCTGTACATAAGCTCTTACTTTCTGAAGAAATACTACTTTTCCTTTCTAGAGCATGTTCCATTTGAATTTGCCGAGTTTTTGGCAAACATTTAGGTAGTCAGACTTACAACTCTGAGGTAGGGACACACTATAAATATCTGCTTTGCAGGTCAGGTTTGAAATTATGCAGTTTGCCTCAGGTTACAGAGGACATTTACAGAAAAGCTTGAAATTCAACTCAGGAGCCTTAAATTCACTCCTTTAACCAGGTTGCCTTCCTTGAGGCACTCATTCAGGTGTTCTCCAGTTGGGCTTGCTGCTTCCTTGTATTGCAATTACATTAATTCCTCTTTTAGTAGGGTTCCAGCTATGTTACTGTGTCTAGTGCTGCACGCTGCATCTGGCACAGGAATGCAGTGTTGCTCTTACTAGGCTGTCAAAGAGAATGTATCACCACAAAAATAAATAATGTCTAGCTGCTTCTGGCATTTCAGTCCCAGCAGTATTTATCACTTCTGGCTGATCAGTGCCTGACTAAATGCCCCTAACAAACAATGGGTATAGTCCCAGTTGAATTCAGTGTGCATTTAATCAGGTCTTTGCTAACTGTGCTTCCAAACTTCACATTTCATACGGACTAAAGTACTGTCTCTTTTGTTTTTAGACCATTATTCCACTTACTTCACTGTTCAGATTCAAACAATGGATTTTCTGCATGGATTATGTCAGTGAATGTATGTTTGTATATGCAGACTCTAGTTTTAGTTCTAGATTTAGTTCCTCCCCAGTGTGATGCTGCCTACCTGCATGGCAATCTGGGATTAAAGCTGAAAATATATATGTATTTTATCATAAATGAACAAAGATACCCAGAAAGACAAATTTCATAGATGAGTTCAGTGACAGAAAGAATCTTCCACTATTCAAACTATTCCACTATTCAATGCTCTTTTGACGGAGCATTCCCCTCCAGCCTTCTCAAGTGAAGTAAGACAGCTTTCCTGAGCCCAGTACAGTCCTTCCAGACAGAAGTCCTGGGTGGCCCTTATCAAAGAAAACATTGCCCCACAGTTTGTTCCTTCCCTGATGTGATTTGGGAACAGCTTCATGAAGGGATGTAAAGTGAAGGAAGGGAAGGAAGCTTCCATTAAATGTCCGTAACTTTTAGTTCTTTAAAGTATTTTTTAAGTTCCTCATTGAAAAAGCTGAAATGAAACCAGAAGCAGCTTGTAATCACAGTTCCTCTGAAGAGGGCAGAAAGAATGCATGGGGTGTGATGTGCTGAAACAGCCTACAGACACTTTAGGAACAAAAATTACATCTTAAAACTATGAGTAGATTTAACAATTGAACTCTAAAGAATTAACCATCATATAAACATTTCACACTTTTTGTTTTTCTTTCCAAGGGTCCATAGTCTAGTTATTCAATCTTGTGCAAAGGTCATGTTACTATGGATATGACCTGCAAGAAATGTGTTGCCTCAGAGCAGTGCAAGTCACATGAACAGGCTGAAAGCCAAGACTGCTGATTCACAGCCTTGTCAGGATTTTCATGCTTGTGCTGGTTCCACTGAAGAACAGTCCTTGCACCATTAAGTCTATGTTCGTCCTTTGAAAGTATTCATGCAGGTGTAGCTCCCAGAAAACTTGTGGATTTCTTCAAGTGCTGCCTGAGGGAGAATGCTGTAGAGAAGCAGAAAGAAAATAAGCAGACCAGACAAACAAACCACTTAGTCTGTTTTAGTAAGAGGATGTGCAAATATGCATTTATGTACACACATACATAAGCATACATATTCTCAAAATGAGCCACTGAGGGTGCACAGACAAAACATGTCAGTATCCTGCTGTTGAGTAGGTCTAAAGGGAGAAAGTTCTATCAAGTTGCTCTTTCTCTACAGAAATATTTATCCAAAAAGGTCTGTAAAAACTGCAAATTGGAAGATACCATCATGTTTTATTCCTCCCCAGTTCTGTGTAGAATCTTGAACTCTGAAATACACAGATATAACCTGAATGCTTTGGTTAACCTGCCATCTGTTTGTGCTAGGCATGTGCCCTTGTTATCATAAGGCATGGATAGAGATCTGATTCCTGACAACTACTGTAAAGGAAAATGGATTATTAATTCTTACATTACAAGAGAAGGAGAATGGCGTTTTTTCAGCCTGTAGAACTTATGGGAACTTTTGAGAGTATCACAGAGCAAAGTATTTATTGTGAATTATTTTTCTTGTTTGCAATGCAGTATTGTAACTATTTTCCACAGAAATCTCGTGACCTTGTTTCAGTTCCTGACTGAAGCAGGTTTTTCAAAGGCTTTAATGGAAACTCTCATGGAAACCCAATTTTAAATGTCCTTCCTCTTTAGTTGTTTCAGGATATGAAGTTATGACTTTCTTTCCTTGGGGACTTTAAAATTCCTGTCCTAATCATACACAAAAATACTTTTTAACAGTTTGATTACTTTAGCACAAGGAAATACAGCTGTGATGTACATACCTTGTTGTGCAGAAATCCTTTACAACACAGAGCCTGGAGCCCAAACAGTGGCTTACTAAATCCAAATCAGCTCCATGCATGTTAATTGTTAAAAAATTTCCTAGATACAAATACTAGTTCAGACCTCAGGAATCCAAATTTGGGGAGTGAAACTTGTTTCATAAAAGGGTCATATCCAGGCAAAACATCTATGAAGGGAATCTCAAGTAGTTTTTGCTTCTATATGTCTTTCTTGGGAAGGGACGGACAAATCTGATCCTGGATACTGGGTTATGGCCAAACTCTTTGACAGACACAGAGGGACTGTAAGCCAGTCTTGCTAAATGGGTGAGGCTATTGCTGGGCAAAGGAAATATTTACCTCTTTAGGATGACAAGAACATGCATTGTCCACGGAAGGAGCAGGAATGCTTGATTCATCTGAACTGCTTCTACTGTCCTCCTAGCCACTGTCTCTGGCTTGAGAGGAGGAAAAAGGTTAGGGAACCTAAGTAAATAAAGTAAAAAATAAAATAATTATTTGTTAACCATCCTCATGCTTTAAGATATCACTGTCCAAGTCCTGTTACTCACTAAGCTATCGCTGGTTTCTGGCATTCAGACATGCCCAAAGCAGGCTGGAAGAAGCAGAAAGTTCCAGTTTCAGCCAGAATGCTGGAAACAGAAAACCCAGTTCCAACCAGTACTGCTGGTTTAACTAAATGTTATGAATGTACACGTTGGTGCCTTCAGGAAAAAGTGGCAGAGTGTGCTTAGAACCTCAATTCAGGGATTTTCTTAAACTGCATGCAAACTAATCCCAAAATGCTGTCATTTCAGTGTTGTTGTTTTTCCTCTTCCTCTCTATTGCTCTTTGATTGATCCAAATTCTTGACAGGTGAAAAGTATTGCTTTTAATACCAAACAGAAGGCTTTTCCCAGCTCCAGCAATAGCTTGACACTGCAGATTTTCTTGTCTAGCAGAACACTAGCACTAACTGTATTAGTAAGTTACTTTGTCCATTGTAAAAGATCAATTTGGTCAGCTTTTAGTCTTTGAATTTAGTTTGTTCTTTTAGATTGAGGTTGAAAGGGGAGGTACTGACAGCTTTACTTCAGGAAGTGGCTGTCGTTCCTTTCAGTAGAAAGAATTAAGTATTTCAATGAATAAAGAAGGAATTTGTACTGTTAATTCTCAAGTAATTTGTAGACTGCGCCTCTTAAATGACCTCAGCTTTCAGATTACCTCCCTTCCCTCTGTGGTGACTGCATATGGCCTAAATACACTCAGGGAAAATAACTTTCAGCTTTCTATGCAGAAGCAAACATCTCACTTGGTAAGGCAGGCTGTGTGAATATGCCAGCAACCAAAGGAACCAGTCTGATGAGTCCCTGCTGGCCTAGAGTGACCCTCTGTTTGCAGGCAGCCAAATGAGACATCAAATTCTCTTAACTAAATAAAGCATTAATTAGGAGTGTATTGTGATGATTCATTTAAGATGAGATGCTTTATTCTAGTTCCCCTTGACTGACCTGATTCTCATGCCCTGAAACATCTCTGTGCTGGTGTGAAAGGGCAGGACTGTTGTGGCATTCACTCCAGGGCAGTCGAGCAGCCCTAACGTCAGGCTCTCCATAAAGGCAAAGGATGAGGCTTTGGAGGTGCAATAGTCAATGGCACCAGGGATAGCTGACAAGGCCAGGACAGAATTCAGGCAAACGATGTGTCCCTTCTGCAACTCCAGCATCCTTGGCAGGAATGCTTTGGTGGTCTGAAGAACAACAGTGTTAAAAAAAAGAACATCAAATACTGTCACTACTGGGAAAAATCAAATTTTTAGACTTTTTTTCCCTTGGCTTTTCCCCTCACATTGTTTTTTCTGTGTCCTTTTCACAACAGACTGATTTTACCAAGCATTGTTTAAAAAGACCTAGTAACAGCCACGTTTTTGCTGGCTCCTGTCACTCACTCCCAATTCCAATTGCATGTGATTGGTACAAGAGTTCCTCTTACCCAGAACTGTCCCAGGGTGTTTATATGTTGTGATTTGAGCAGTGCATCATCATCGCTGTCCATCAGGCTCTTCCCATGGACCACAGCAGCATTGTTCACCAGGATAGTGATATCACCCACCTTCAGAAAAACCCAAATTCCGTGTTACAACTAATATCTATCCTTGTGAGCTGGCAGTCACCACTAGATCTCAGTATCTGTTATTACCTAAATATGTTATTATTTTCCTAGCTTTCGACATTCTTGCTTATAGGGCTTGTAATCATTTAGAACAGGTAGCTGGACTCTATACAACACAATCTGGATGGTTACCCCTCTTTTTTTCCCAATATGCCAATCTATTTTTTTCCTTATCAGTCAGAGTCATTACTCAGTGCTGTCCACAAACAGTGCTTCTACACAGACACTAACCTTCTCCCGCACAGCTTTGGCCTGCTGATAGACCTCCTCTCGATTTCCTACATCACAGATGAAATAATGACATTCTGTCCCCATCATCCTGATTTCCTCTGTGGTCTCCTTCAGGCATTTCTCAGTTCGACCCCACAGGATGATCTGCAGCAAGAAACTTTTGTTAGAGTCAAACTGCTTCTGCTTCAAATCTAAAATAATTAAAACATGCTTCCTAACTTCAACAATTTGATGAATATCTTTGTTGTGTTTTCACTGCCAGCCCTTTGCATTGTTTCATTTAGAACTAACAATGATTTTCTATTACATGGGGATGGGACTTGAGTATCCTGAAGGTAGCTGTATCCCAGTGCTGATACACTATTGGCAGGTTCTTTACAAGCAATACAAAATGCCACATCTTTAGCCTAATGCGACAAATCTGTGAAACATTTGGCGAATTTTCTGTATCACAGAATTTCAAACCTATCCCTGATTTTGCTATACACACACAAAGATAACTTTCTTCTAAAATCCCAGACCTTCCTATATATCTGGTATGTCATCTGCTTCTTGTTCTACATTTGGAGACAGCATCTGCTCTGCAGTAAAACATGTTTTTTCAGCATATCATCTGTAACTATTTGCAGTGCTGTTTGCAGGCTGGTGTCCTAACTGCAGTTCAAACAAGAGATTCATCCTGATACATAGATCTGAAGTGAGAAATTTCAAGCACGAATTCATTTTGCAACTAATATATGCAAGATCACTCTTGCCATTCCCATTTAACACAGGAAAGATGATACAATACTGCTTGTACAAAGAACAACTGTGAATATCCACAGAAACAAAACATTTCATGCTTCCATCGCTGTATTTCAAACATTCATCTACCAATAAGAAGGTTCAACCAAAACATTTTTTCCTGGTATATAACCTTCTTTTCTAATTTTTTTTAAGGTTACTCACCTGGGTTCTCAACCCTTTCCTAAATGAGTCAAATTTATAACAATATAAATCATTACTACAAATAATAATTTAATCCCATTTATAAGTCATTGCTACATCTGTGAACATAAACACACACAGACTGATACAGTTCTAGTCTCAAAATCACCAAAGGGCTAATAAGTTGGTTAACTAGAAACTTCAGAGCACATATAAATACGCCAGAGCCACTTCATGGGAAATCCTATCTCAGGTGAAGTAATTTTCAAGGAAAAACCCATTAAAAACCTTCAAAACTGCAGGAAAACATCTGGCTAAAAATGGGAGCTTGTGTATTGGCCTGTCCTCGAAAGCCTCAGCACATCACCCGTAGCTATCAGGCTTTGGCATCTGCACAGAGCTTGTAAAACCAATGGCTATTTACTCACTGCTGAACTCAGAGCTAGACTGGGGGATAATTCTTATGCCTACTCTGCAGACTTGACAGGAAACCAAGAACATGTGAGAAATTTCACAAGCTTTCAGGAAATATTTACAAAATACCATTCAGCTACAAGCACACACATACTTGCTCTCTCTTTCACAACCTACACCTCTGTTGGAAAGGGAAGAAAAAACATTCCAAAATGTCAGCCTTAAGCATCAAGTCTGATGCCTACTCTGCAACAGGGTGAACACTTCAGCCTCTTAGGACTGGATCAGTCAAATGAGACAGTAAAAAATGAACTGACAAGTTGAAGAGTGATGGAAGGTAGGAAAGGAAGAGAAAGAGAATTAATGCGGCAGACAAGGCCAGATTGGACAGACATGGGCGACATGGTCTAGTGTGAGGCATCCCTGCCCATGGCAGGAGGTTGGAACTGGATGATATTAAGGTCCTTTCCAACCCAAACCATCCTATGCTTGTATGATTTTATGACAAGAGGAATGAGGCAACAAACAGACCTCACATACCCAGCACTCCAGGTTTCCCCCTGCTATTGCAAAATAAAAAGTAGATCCCTCACTCTTCACTTTAATCTGTTTCAAACATCCACACAGCCTCCTATTCCCAAGAGCTGCCACTGATGCACTGGATGTCAGGAAAGACATGGAAGAATCATAAACAAAGGATGACCTGTCAAAGGAACATCTGTCTGTGATGCAGCTCTTGGACATAACATTTTTTATGTCCGAACAGTTACTTTGGGACCTTTAATATCCTACAGGCAAGTCTTGCGAGGTGACCCCATTAAAATCCGGGCCCTCTGGGGAAGACAGAATTTGCTGGTTCTCCTGCTGACAGCATTAACTTCAGCACTGATTCTTTTTCCATGGGAAGTTTTTGTGTCCTTGATATTGTTCACACTCAGGTGAAAGCTTCAGCCTGAGTAAGAAAAAAGCAGCAAATAAAAGGACATTCTTTTGTGAGAGGGGAAAGTTCCCCAATGACACAAGAGGTTTCCTGCCGTCACTGCTGCTACTTTTTACAGATGGATAAAACGCAGAACTCAATACAACCTGCTTTTGGTCCAAATTCAAGCTTGACTGCTCCTACAAGACATATAAGACTTTTAATTTCCTTCTGACATCTTGCCAAATTAAATTGGCAAGGGCTTCCCTCTGGCCTCTGAGGGTATCACATCTTACAGAGAGACAAGACTTTCAGTTGCTGCATTAGCTTCCTAATTGAGGTTTCTGTTGCTCCTGATCTCTGTCTTTACAGAAGGCTTTGGCTTAGTGTTCCTTTGTAGGCAATACTTGTCTCCTCCTGCCTGCACCAGTTTCACCAAGGTTCTCCTAGGTCTACTGTTGTGGCCTGAGATTTCCTACAAACCTCCCTGCTCTCCTGAATTCACCTCCTTCTGCAAAGCCTGCAATTAGGTGAGTTGCTGCTCATGAGCTGGAACTCATAAGGTTGGGTTATTTGTAACATTCTTACTACATTAAGAGTCAGGGAGAATTGTGCATGTTCCCAATGCTCCTGAACAAACCCTTCTGCTCACTGGAGGCTTAGGCCTGGAGAGAATGACTTACAGACAAAGAAATTCCTGCTTGGGACAGAGGAAAATGCAGAGAAATAGAAGAGAAAGGAGACACGGCTTTCCTCATTACGCAGCCTGTCAGGATGTTGCACAGCCACCCATTCACGGTTAATTTAATGGTGGATAGAGGAATATTTAATTTGTGTTTCGGATAAGTTCTTGGACAGACAGTTTTCCGTCCTGGAAAGAATCCAGCCCCACTTCTTCTCCCCTTTCAGCTCTCATCATACTGTCCTGCCAGCCCCTCCCTACCACACTAGACACGCTTTCCTTTCAGAGAGTTACTGACCAGAAAATTGCAGAGGGCAGGAGCCCGGGGAGGTTGTTTAATCCCCGTGGCAGCTCCTGGAGGCTCCCTGCCCGCTGGTTAGCCCTGGGTGACCCGGGTGGTTGGCAGCCAGGGAGGCAGGTGGAAAGTTACAGCAATCCCTTGTGCTAGGGCTGTGATGAGAGCCGGGCAGCAGCAGGACAGGCGTCTTCCTACTGTCGGGTGTAGGAAAGCAGAGATTTATGGTGACAGAGGAGCTTAGCACGGCCTCCTCTTCATTAACTTGAAAGTAGGCAAGGGCTGTGACATCACAGCTTAGTGCAGATTTTCCCAGGATTTATTCATGAGTGAAGTTTTGCAAACCAAACCTTATCTCTAGATCTTCTCCCCTCTGGCAAGTCACAGAGCTCCTTATCTGGCTTTAGGAAAATCATTTCAGCTGGAGTGGCAGGCTCTGCAGACACTGCATCCTCTGCTCCCGGAGGAGTCGTTTAACTTTGGACTTAATCTGCTAATGAGACATGCCCTGAGGTCGGAGGGGAGTCAAAAGGAAGGTTTTAGCTGCTGTTGCACTAAGGGAAGGCTTTCTAAGAGAGGCCTGCGCTGGCTCTTGGCCAAAAGCCCCAACCATGACTGTAGGTTTAAATCCTGATTTGCACCGTAATAGAAGAGTTACGCTTTTGACTGGCCACAAAATCAGATAAAGCCACTAATTTATATAAACAGGTCTAGATTGAAGCTACTATCAACCACAATATACACACATGATCTATGCTTCCAGAGTCTTAAGTATATTACTGGTGCCGGAGATGAGGTTAGAGCTAATTTTACATCATTTACAAGGCTATTTAACTTGTTTGGTCTGATTTTATTGCTAGCACAATTCATGAGCAGCAGAAAAGGAATGCTGCCCTTTTACATCGTCAATTAATTTGGCACTGTATCTTCAGCAAACCCGCTGTGCTTAGAACTTATCCCTCCAGTGAACTACACCAGTATTGGAAAGGTGTCCCACAACAAAAGCATGTCTGAGACTGAACATGTGCCATTTCTTGATACTCAGAATCTGGGTTGTATTTTAGTATGGACTTGTTCCCTCTTAGTCTTTTCCAACACAACAACATGTGTTGTGATTAGCAGATAAAACTTCCATTCCAAAAGCTTCCACAGTTTATGATTCATGAAGCAAATCTCTGTATCAGTTTGGAGATACTGAAAGATGAAAGTGTTGCAGAGGGACACTGCAGTGCTCTGCCTGCCTGCTCACAATATTGCTGCCACCACAAATGAAGCACAACTCCTAGCCACGGATCAGCTGAGATAAGTAGCTGGTAGGTCAACACATTTCATTCCCCCTTTCAGCCTCCTTCCTAGTCCAGTGAAACAAAAGTTGCTGTGTTTGAGCTGGTACCTGGAATTGCACAGCCACCTCAGCCACCTTTGTTCATACAGAGCACCCTTCTGCATCCAGAAAGTTCCTGCATGCTTTTAGGAAGTACAAAGTGGAGATAATCCACTTAAGTATGTCAGTCTTACTCCATGTATTTACAAAGCCTGGTGGTACCAACTCCCAGTTGGTCCTCTGAAGAAATGCATTCCAGTGTATCCCATAATCCTGGCTGGGTTTTGCATACGATGAGAAAAGCCTCAGAAGCAGTCATGTGTTTTGCCTGTCAATGGCATGAGGGTATTCTCCTCCACCCCTTCTCCTCTCTTGCCCCAGGGCAAAGCCAGACAGGTTCTGTCAGGAGCTGGGCATGGGAGAGGCCTGAAGAGAGATGACTGGAAGAGTGAAAGGTGTGGCCGTGCAGTGTGAAACACCAGCCTTTGCTTTGGAAAGGAGAAAAGAACCTGAGGATGCCTGAAGTAGGTAAGTCAAAATACTTAACCCAGAGGCTTAGTGAAACTTGCATAAAAGTGAGCAA